GAAGGCTATGGAATCATGGGAGTTGTAGTTTGGTGAGGCAAGTCCTCTTTGGCAAAAGAGGTTCCAAACCTTTTAAAATAACAATTCCCATGCTTCTATAGCATTGAACAGTAGTAGTTAGAGTGGTGTCAAACTGCATTGATTCTGCAGTGTAGATGGGTTTGGATCCCTGCTCAGCGATAGTATACATATTTTTAATGAACTTCTAGTGCTTTCTTTATTAAAAGGAAAGTGTTCTTGCTATTTTCTTTTTATACTTTTGACTTGTGAACTGTGAGCCACCCAAAAGAATGTTGTGAATGCTTTGTGGGTAAATCCAACCTAACAGTCACATCCAATAAATCATTCCAGCAGCCCGAATGACAGCTTGGACTTCAGACATGAACAAACATTTCCATGCTGTGAATAACTTCACTTCCTTCAAACCACACAGCTGTTAAAGTTGAAACATACCCTCCAACATCTCACAAGACGACAGCTGGGACACATGGAGCCAAATATAGTAATATCATGATGTGGTCAAGGTGGCAGAAGTTATTAATGAGAGAGTACACAAGCTAGGAGAGGCTGCGGCAGTTTGTTTTTGCCTGAGCTTACAAGAAAGGGCAAGATCCTGCTCTCATCTTTCCTGCCCCCCCTCTCTGAACAAACTACGTCTCATGATTCCATAGCCATGAGCCATGGCTGTGATGCCAAACTGTGTCAATTCAGAAGTGCAGATGCATGCTAAGATTTTACAGTGGCATCGGTTGTCTACACACACACAGCCCAGACAGAGCTGATTAAAAAGGAAACTAAGTGTTTCCCAAAGTTTGTCCTTGATCTCAGAAGGATCCACTCTCCTTCCCTCTCAGTGATGGAAACTCATTCAAGGGCAGAGAAGAGGAAGGGTAAAATCCTGCCTTTCTCAGTAGGCTCAGGCTAAAGCAAACTGTGACATGTCTCTTTTCTCACATTCATAACTTTCCCTATCTTGACCAAGCTCTTTTGGTCATATGGAGTCCTGGTTTTCTTCTGTGAAATGTTGTAGGGTCAGAGGCGGCCCTAGGTAATTTTCAATGGTAAGCAAACAGTATTTTGGCGCGCCCCCCCCCCCAACCAATCACTGATATATATTTTCTGTTCGTCGTGGGAGTTCTGTGTGCCATATTTGGTTCAATTCCATCATTGGTGGAGTTCAGAATGCTCTTTGATTGTAGGTGAACTATACATCCCAATAACTACAACTTGCATATGTCAAGGTCTATTTTCCCCCAAGAGCGCCTCAAGAGCGCCCCTGGGCAAAATCAACTATACTGCAAATGCTTACTTTGCGTAATGGGTTGAGCCGCCCCTGTGTGGGTATAAACTAAGGTAGGATATTTTATTCTCCAAAGTCTTGTTAGCATGGTGTAGATCTTTTATTTATTTATTTTTGAAATGAGTTACACCATTTTTATGGTTTAACAAGAATACTATGCATATTTAGTCTAAGTCGACTTGCATTCAATCCAGGAAACATATATAGCATTGTATAACCATTGACTGCTATTGGTATTTGTTTTGCTCTTCTAAGGTGGGCTTTGTGCATAGAATTATAGAATCAGAAAACAGCACTAGAGTCATTCATTTTGACCTGCTGCTACAATCCTGACATTAATATTATATATGCTTTGATTTGTTAATAGTTTGTTTTTGTGTTCTTTAGAAGCCAGCATTTGATGAAGTTGGCAACAAATAAAACACATAAATGTACTTCATTTTTCATACACAAATTATTTTGCAATTCTTGGGTGAATACCATGCGTGATTGGGGATTTTTTAGATCTTCAGACATGCCTCTCCTGGGAATCTGCAACATGAGCAATATTTAGCAATCTGTTTTGACCAGCTGTTACTGTTGGTATATGCCATTAGAAAGGAAGAGGGAGAAGACAGATGCAGGACACACAAGCCGAAATAGGGTCATGCTGAAATGGCTGTAATACAGGCAATAGTACATGTAAAATGTAAACATAGCACAGTGTCTTTTCACTTCAATGGAGAGGCCTGGTTTAGAAACTCACAATTTCAATATATAGGTGATAGTCTGCCTGTCATTGCATCAATTCACTTGTGTTCATTTCAGAAGAGTCCTTCTGTGAGCAAAATTTTATTTTATTTTAAACACTTATAGGCTGTCTCTTTCAAAGGCTTGAAAAAGCTTAAGTTGATAATATTAAATGTACTTGGAGATGATGAAAGAAGGCTTAATTGTTCCCTTTATTATCACATTTATATTCTAACTTTTCTCCAATAAAATCTGTGCTGCATATGTGACTCTGCTGCCTACTTTCCTTCAACAATCCTTTGTGGCTTGACTGAGTGATAGAAATGGAAAAAAGAAAGAAAAGGTGGAGACTATGGCCATGTAGTAAGTTTCATGGCCAGTGTTGAACTCTCATCTGATCAGCACATTTAGGCCCCATCCAGACAGACCCAAAATGCAGAACCTTTCTCAGTTTTACTGGAGGCCTAAACGACGCTCCAGTAAAAGCAAATTAAAGTGGAATAAACCAAGGTTTCTCTGCTTTATTTCATATTAATTAAACACCCCATTATATCTGGATCTTTATGAAAGTCCCGGGTCTAATTTTTTGTGTGTGTCAGGAGTGACTTGAATTGGCTGTCTGCAGGGACTTTGCCCAGGGGATGCCCAGATGTTTGATGATTTACCATACTTGTGGGAGGCTTCTCTCATGTCCCCATGTGGGGAGCTGGAGCTGGCAGAGGGACCTCAACCCGCTTTCCCTGAATTTGGTCAGTGGTTGGGTGTAATGCAATGCTGGGTCTGTGGGGACTGACTCCCGAGACATGTCATACATTTCCCGGAGGTCAATCTTCACAGCCATTCCCCACTTATAGACTCCTAGAGCCTAAAGGCACGGAAGGGCACTCACCTTTCCCTCAGTTCCCAATTTACCTCTTAAAACTTTCTGAAAAGGTCCCTGGCCCCCATGGATCCTCTTCTCATGTCCTCCTGGTACAATAAAATGATGCCTGAAGAGATGGGAAGAGTAAGGAGGAAAATCCTTCATGTACCCCCCCCCCCCAAAATCTCCTTAGGCATCATTTTCTTACACCAGTAGGACATGAGGAGAAGCTCCATGGTGGCCAGGGACCTTTTAATTAAGTTTTAGGAAGTAAATTGGGGGCTTTGTGGTGGCTTCATGCTATCCTGATTTCAATCAGTATAGTATGTAGCCATCCTGGGAGATATCAGGGTTGTGGGAGGAGGTGAGGACTAGAACCTGCTCTGAAACAGGTTACTGTAACCCATTTTGCTGCAGGTTTTAGTAATGTCTGGAAGCACCCTAAATAGGCTCCAACAAAACTTTAGACAAAATGGAAAAGCCTCTCCTTTAGAAGAGAGAAGAGTATGTATTTCCTGGGGTAGGTTAACCACAACCTTGAACCAGTGGACATAAGCAACCTAGTTTCTAACTGATAAGTTCTCAGGGTGTATGAAGTGGGGTGTGCTTAAATAGTCCAAGTTAGTACAACCTTCCAGATATTTTGTATTTTCAGTTACTGTTGTCTTTGGCCATGTTGGCTGGAGCTAATTGGCACTGCATTCCGGAGTGTGAGTACTAGTTGAAGAAAGCCCACATACTGAAGGCTGTGATAATCTCTAAGATATATATGATATCGGAGCCTGAAAAATTTCAAAGGCATCCTCAGCTGACCCTGGAAGTATATGAGTGCCATTACATAAAGCTGGCAAGTAGAGATGACGCCATTTGTCCATCTAAGTCAATCTGTTGATTCTAACAGGCCATAGTGCTCTCGGAGGTCAGCAGAGGTCTCTGTCCTCAGCTCTCATGTGATCCATTGAATCCAGGTCAATGTGCCTTCAAATAATGCTCCTCCATGCTATCTATGGGGAGAGATCTTGGCTCTACCACTCAAGTACATTATCTCCACTTTGAAGGAGTTGACAGACCATACATGATGTGTATGTCTTCACATCATTCTAAATCTGCAAATAAAGCATATGAGAATTTGACAGCCAAATCATCTGAGGGCCCATCTACACAGCCTTATATCCCAGAATATCAAGGCCACAATATCTGCTTTGAACTGAGTTATTTGAGTCCACACTCAGATAATGTCCTGCCTTGAAATTCTGAGATATAGGGCTGTGTGGAAGAGTTGAGGAGATAGGAAGCTGTCTTTTACCAAGTTGGACCATTGTTGGTTCATCTAAGTGAATATTGTCTACAGTGGCAGGCCGAGATGGTGCAACTTGCCCATTTTCATCCAATAAATTTCTATGGCTGAGTGGGGATTCGAACCCTGTTATCCCAGAGACTTAGACCAGCACTCAAAGCAATTGACCAAACTGGTCCACCAGCACAACTATTCCAAAAATAGTCCTCCAAAAGTAACTTTTCTAACCTCTTGTCAGCTGCATAAACCATGAGTAACATCTCATAGAATAATACAGGCTGTATTATTCTACAGCATGTGAAAACTGCCTGAAACAGTCTGTTCTGTAACATGGTTTGGTCCTGCCAATAGTAAACCGAAATGAATATTTCTGCCCTAGCAAAACAACACATGATCTCAGGATGACTCAGGAAATTCTCAGAGTCAATAAGGAGCTTATTCTGCTGGAGAAAATGAAGAGACTAAGAGGACAAATGGCATCTCTTTGGCTGGGCTAATGTCTGTAGATGGTGGGCGTAAAGAAGCTCTTGAGAACTATACAAAGCTTTAAAATGCCAGTTGTACCCATTCATTAATCCAGACCAGCCAGGTAAAACATATCCATTCTGTTCTTGGCTCTCAGAATAAGACCAGTTTTGGCACTGATAACCAGAACAATTTAATGAGATGTTTCTCTGATCATACTGTCTTATAAACACAGTTGAGATTGAGCCCTGGGTTGTTGTTTTTCTTCCTAAAATTTGCCAAAGAAAGAGAAATTATCTTGATACCTTAGGCAGATTAATGGTATTTTCCCCTTTTACTTCTTCTAGGGGTGTCGTAAAAGTGGACATAAACCTGCAGAAAATGGACATTGACCAATGTTCAAATGAAGGATGGTTTTCAGGAACTCACACATGCCGTTTAAATAGTACTGAGGTAAGAAAAAAAGAGGGAGAACATTGTAAAAGGGGATGATCCTGCTCAGCATTTCACCATGTTATGCTTTCATTATGTTTTGCACTATATGTACTAGGTCTTATCCACATTTCCCTGCCTTCTAAATGAGAAGGAGGCTTCAGCACAGCATGGAGTCTACAAAATTCTGGATGGCATTGCACACTGCAGCTAAATAAGATTATGGTTGGTAATTGCTAGTACACATTCCAGCTTTAGAAATATTTTACCCTAAATGGAATTAAAGGATCCAGAATCCAGGTGGAATATGCTGTACCTTTCCTTAAACATGCATTAATCAATCAATCAATCAATCAATCAATCAATCAATCAATCAGTGTGTGTGTGTGTGTGTGTGTGTGCGTGTGCGTGTGCATGTGTCGGCATACAGCAAATTGTGTTTAGCACAGTTTTGCTAAATATACACTGGAATGGAAACAAAGACAAAAAAAAAAGAAAGTCTTGAAATCAAGGGCATTATAATACCATGCTGTTATCATAGTGAGCTGTTAGTTCCAATTTCTCCTCAGCATCATTGTCTTGTAGGGTCACTGAAAATAATCTGTTAATGCCCCCCTTTCCTGCATCAGTTCAGTAAACCATTTTGGGTGTTGGTGTCTCATAATACATTCTGCCATGAATGATCCATTATAGGGCACATTGTTGGTGTGCTAGGTCATCCTTTCCTCAAGGATTCCCAGGGAAATCTCTGGCAGAGACGTCCCAGACTACTCCTGGTTTTCTCATGGTTAACATGACTTTACTAGTATGCTTAAATCTCTCTTAACTCTCTTTCCTGATTTCTGTTTTGTTTATTTGTTTGCTGTTGTATTGCCTTAATGTTATAGCTCATCCCACTGTTATAGCACATCTTATTGTTATAGTGCTATTATGGTACAATTAAAAAAATAGATGCACCAATCAATGAAGTGAGTGGCAGGGTACAAGAGTTAGTAATGATACCATTTATGCAAATCCAAAACCATGCAAATGATGCTCTTAAAGGGCAATGGGTGTGATAGAGAGCATCAGTGATTAGCTATCCTCATGAGATTGGCTAGAGTGAATTTCAAAGGGAATAACATCACAGAAATGATTGGTATAATAAGGTCCCAAATGTGCCTTAAATCCCCACCCCCAAACCACTTCACTCCCGACCAGGATCTCATTTATTTCTTAACAATGTCTTGGTTTTCCACTGGAATGAAGATTATTACTACATTAAAAAATCTTCCAAGTTTAATATTCATAACCAACACTTATTTTATAAGCTGCTAACAGAGCAATTTGAAAGAAAAAAAATATGACCACTTATTCCCTTTCATCGTGTATCTTATAGTATTGTCACCATTAATAATTATACCATATATCAGTTCATTTTACAAGCCGGTCAAGAAAATGAAGCATAAGTAAATCAGGGCTGGCAGAAGACATTTTGCTGCCAGAACTGAAGATTATAATGAAACCTCGCAGTCTATTAATAAAGGGAAGCTAGACAAGAATTGGAAATTTAGACCCTTCCTAACTACCCAATTACCGAACTATGACTCATAGAGAAAGAAGAGGCCACAATGGCCATCCAGTCCAACCCCCTGCCATGCAGGAACACCCAATCAAAGCACTCCCAACACATGGTCACCCACCTCTGTTTAAAACTTCCAAAGAAAAGACTACATCACACTCTGAGATAGACCATTGTTGAGATCTGTTATGATAACAATGTGAAATGGATCTTGGAGCTTCAGAGCCCTTCCAGACAGGCCCAAAATGTGAGACCTGGCTCACTTTTACCTGAGGCATCCAACAACACCTCAAGTAAAAGTGAATTAATATGGAGAAAACAGGTTTTTCCATTTGGTTCACATTAATTTGACACCTGGAAAGATCTGGACCTTAAACCTTCTTCCAGGTTCTGGGCCTGTGGGGACTGACTCCTGGGACTGCTCCCACTGTGCTGGGGGTCAATCCCCGCAGCCATCTTGGTTCTTTGGGCTCCTGGAGCCCAAGGAGTAGCAGGGCGCCCACCCTTCCCCTTTAGCTCCCCATTTCCCCCCAAAAAAACTTACCGGAGGGTCTTGCCAGCAGTGTAGACCCCTTCTGCACAGTACTCTGGACACACAAAAATGGCACAGCAGGAGGGAGGAAAGGGATATCCTAAGGCCCTATCTACACTGTCATATAAAATCCAGATAATTAGCACAGCAGGTTAATCACTAGCTGCAGCTGCAGTAAATGTTGCCAACTGAAAAGTTGACAGTTTGAAGCCAGGTCAGGGTGAGCTCCTGACTTTCAGCCCAGCTCCCCCGTCCACCTAGCGGGTCGAAAACAGCAATGTGAATAGATGAATAGGAACCACATTAAGTGGGGAGATATTTTAGGCACTGTGTTTTGGAGGAAAGTTTGTGAAAAAAGAAAGCTCTTCGGCAAGGAGATGGAGCAACAGCATCCTCCTGTGGCTGGAACAGAGCACAACCTCCAAAAGATGCCGTATGATGAGAAAAAGCCTCAATATACCTCAGTCTGTTGTCTGTCTTGTCACTGTATAATTGGCATTGAATATTTGCCATATATGTGTTCTGTGATCCGCCCTGAGTCCCCTTTAGGGTGAGAAGGGTGGAATACGAGTACTGTAAATAAATAAATAAATAAATAAATAAATAAATAAATAAATAAATAAATAAAGGACCTAAGTAGAAAGTCCTCATCCACTTGAAATTGTGAGTCATTTCTCATGAAACCGGCTCACATTCACCTTTTTGACATGATTGGAGCGAAATATGAGAAGAAACACGTAAAGTGTATCTCACAGCCCGAAAACATTGTTACTAAAGCTAACACAAAGCAATTTGTTGTTTATTAATCATGAGTAATAAATAATGGCAATCTTATTAGCAAATTGTTTGATTTTCTTTTTTTTAAAAAAATAACAACTTATTTTTTTAAAGGCCTCAAATACCCAGATTTCCTTGACTGCCTCCACAGATAATGTTTTGAAGAAGCAACTGAGCAGTACTCATTAAACCAAACATTTCAATGATATGAGTCAGCATTATCTTTCAAAGTAACATTGTTGTCTCATTGCTTTAAAAGTTAAGCATTTATTCCGAGCTCTGATGCTTCTCATTATTTTGTACTTATATAATGGGGAGCTAGTCTAATGGGGAGTAGACAAAGGCTTAAAATGAGTCTGGTAAGGTGGAGAAGAAAGCTGAGGTTTTACTTTTCTCTTTCAAATCCTTCAAAAAAACCCAATTTTTAGATATATAAACCCATTTTTCCTAGTTTCCAACAAACCTCACAACCTCTGAGGATATCTGACATAGATGCAGGCAAAACGTCAGGAGAGAATGCTTCTAGAACATGGCTATACAGCCTGAAAAACCTACAACAGCCCAAAGCAATTGTTGTTGTGTGCTTTCAAGTTGTTTCAGGTTTATCATAAGTCAACAGGGTTTACTTAGGAAGATTGGTTCAGAGAGGGCCACAACATCCAGGGCTGGTCCATAGGTGTATGCCACCTTCTGGAATCTTCCAGAGGTTCTGGAGAATGGTGGTGTTGTATTGCCACCTAATAAGGCATAGTTAGGTGTTTCCTTAATTCATTTTCAGTTCAACTGCCTGGTAAATTCCTGTTTTTTGGAGTGAGGTGCAATTATGAGAGCCATCATGATGTAGTCATTTGGATATAGGACTACAACTCTGGAGTTGTTGTTGTTCATTTGTTCAGTCGTTTCCGATTCTTTGTGACCTCATGGACCAGCCCACGCCAGAGCTCCCTGTCAACCGTCACCACCCCCAGCTCCTTCAAGGTCAATCCAGTCACTTAAAGGTTGCCATCCATCCATCTTGCCCTTGGTCGGCCCCTCTTCCTTTTTCCTTCCATTTTCCCCAGCATAATTGTCTTCTCTAAGCTTTCCTTTCTTCTCATGATGTGGCCAAAGTGCTTCATCTTGGCCTCTACTATCCTTCCCTCCAATGAGCAGTCGGGCTTTATTTCCTGAAGTATTGACTGGTTGGATCTTCTTGAGGTCCAAGGCACTTTCAGAACTTTACTCCGAAACCATAGTTCAAAAGCATCTATTTTCCTTTGCTCAGACTTCCTTATGGTCCAGCTCTCATATCTGTAGGTGACTAGGGGGAATACTACAACTCTGGAGACCTAGGTTTAATTTCTTGCTCAGCCATGCCCCAGTCATACCTTCTCAATCTTTATTACGGCATAAGGTGTGTCATAAGTTGGAAACAAATTGAAGGCACATGGCAACCAAAATCACAAAAAAGGGAAGGGGAAAAGAAAGCAAGGGGCAGCTCTTTCTTTTCCCATCTTCTGAGGTAGATATGAAACTAACTTTAACCCTTATATACTCACCATCAAACTATTCAGAATTAGGTGTTTGAGAAACAGTTGATGGGGGAAAAGCACCCAAGAACTCAGATGATAGCACACTTTTTCTCATACAGAATACATTCTAGTGTTACAAGACCTCCCTGCTAAATGGCATGTTCTCTCATTGTCATTAAATCCATGTATGTTAACAAAGAATCCAGTGTATCTGCAAGATGAACTAGCCATTAACTGACCTACACACAAAAACACCAACACCATTATCAAACGATTCTCTTGCTTTTTCCTTATTCAAAATGTCTTGCTCCAGAGGGCCTTGTAGATGTGAAATCCACAACACTGGCTCTGACTGGTCCCATTGTATAAGTAAATTCGCCATCTAAATCCCTTCCCATATTACCATTAAACATTTAATCTAGCTACTAACTGCGTAGTTGCAATCCAGCCCTGCTCGCTTTGCTGTCCTTTGAATTATGAGTAGCTATTCTTTGATCATGGTCCAACACTACTTGACCCAAGTTAATTAAAGATGATATCTTGCCTCCAGTACCAATCCGAGAATTAAAATCATCCATAAGCACTAACTCTGCCTTTGGGTGCTTATTTTGCAAATTTAGAATATAAAACTTCCAATTGC